GCAGTTTACCGTATCCTTAATTAGGTTAAGTTGGGTTGAGTTAGGTTAGGTTAGGTTCGGTTAGGTTGAGTTAGGTTAGGTTAGGTTAGGTTAGGTTAGGTTGGGTTGGGTTGGGTTCGGTTGGAGTTGGGTTGAGGTTGGGTTGGGTTAGGTTGGTTGGGACTGGGTTGGTTAGGTTGGTTGGGATTGGTTGGTTAGGTTGGGTTAAGGTTGGGTTAGGTTTTGAAATAAAAGGCTTTATTGGCAGCCAACACCGAAATCAATATAAAAAATAATCATAATTATGATTACAATTATTGAAAAATAAAATAAATTAACAATAGTAAAGTCAATTAAGAAAAATAAGAATTTTTCCTATGTGTTCAACAGGTTTAACCATTTAGGGTTAGATTTAGGTTAGTTAAGGTTGGGTTGGGTTGGGTTGGATTCAGGTTGGTTGGGTTGATTGGGTTGGTTGGGTTGGTTGGAGTTAGGTTAGGTTAGGTTGAGTTGGGTTGGGTTGGGTTGGGTTAGGTTGGAGTTAGGTTAGGTTAGGTTGGGTTAGGTTGGGTTGGTTGGGTTGGGTTGCGGTTGGGTTAGTTGGGTTGGTTGGGTTGGAGGTTGGGTTAGGTTAGGTTGGTTGGGTTGGGTTAGGTTGGGTTGGGTTGGGTTAGGTTGGTTGGGTTGGGTTGGGTTGGGTTGGGTTCGGTTGGAGTTTAGGTTGGGTTAAGGTTGGGTTAGGTTGGGTTGGGTTGGGTTGGGTTAGGTTGGAGGTTGGGTTAGGTTGGGATTGGGTTGGGTTGGGTTGGGATGGATTTGAGTTGGGTTAGGTTGGGTTGGGTTAGGTTGGTTAGGTTGGGTTGGGTTGGGTTAGGTTAGGTTGGGTTGGGTTGGGTTGGGTTAGGTTGGGTTGGTTGAGTTGGGTTGGGTTGGGTTGGGTTGCGTTTAGGTTAGGTTGGGTTGGGTTGGGTTAGGTTGGTTGGGTTAGGTTGGGATTTTGGGTTTGGTTGAGTTGGGTTGGGTTGGGTTGGGTTGGGTTGGGTTCAGGTTGGGTTGGGTTAGGTTGGAGTTAGGTTGGATTTGGGTTGGTTGGTTGGTTGGGTTGGGTTAGGTTAGGTTGGGTTAGGATTTAGGTTGGGTTGGTTGGGTTTGGTTGGGTTGGTTGAGTTGGGTTGGGTTGGTTGGTTGGGTTGGTTTGGTTGGAGTTGGTTAGGTTGGTTGGGTTGAGTTGGGTTTGGTTGGTTGATTCGGTTGGGTTGGAGTTAGGTTAGGTTGGGTTGAGTTGGTTGGTTGGGTTAGGTTGGGTTGGGGTTGGGTTAGGTTGGTTTAGGTTGGGTTGGAGTTGGGGTTGGAGGTTGGGTTGGGGTTGGTTGGTTGGGTTAGGTTGAGTTAGGTTGGTTAGGTTAGGTTAGGTTGGGTTGGTTGGGTTGGTTGGGTTGGGTTGGGTTGGGTTGGGTTGGGTTGGGTTGGTTGGTTGGGTTGGGTTGGTTGGTTGGTTGCCGGTTGGGTTAGGTTAGGTTGGTTGGTTGGGTTGGGTTGGTTGGGTTGGGTTAGGTTGGGTTGGGTTAGGTTGGGTTGGTTAGGTTGGGATTGGGTTGGGTTTGGGTTGGTTAGGTTGGGTTGGGTTAAGGTTTAGGTTAGGTTGGGTTGGGTTGGGTTGGGTTGGGTTTGGGGTTGGGTTGGGTTAGGTTGGTTGGGTTTAGGTTGAGTTGGTTGGGTTGGGTTGGGTTGGGTTAGGTTGGGTTGGTTGGGATGGGATTTGGGTTGGTTAGGTTGGAGGTTGGGTTGGGTTGGGTTGAGTTGGGTTGGGTTGGTTGGGACAGGTTAGGTTCAGGTTAGGTTGGGTTAGGTTAGGTTAGGTTGGGTTGGGTTAGGTTGGGTTGGGTTAGGTTGGGTTGGGGTGGTTGGGTTGGTTGGGTTGGGTTAGGTTGAGTTAGGTTGGGTTGGGTTAGGTTAAGGTTGGGTTGGGTTGGTTGGGTTGGGTTGGGTTAGAGTTGGGTTGGGTTGGGTTAGGTTGGGTTAGGTTTGGGTTGGGTTGGGTTGAGTTGGGTTGGTTGGGTTGGGTTGGGTTAGGTTGGGTTGGTTGGGTTGGGTTGGGTTGGGTTGGGTTGGAGTTAGGTTAGGTTGGGGTTGGGTTGGTTGGGTTGGGTTAGGTTGGTTAGGTTGGGTTGGGTTGGGTTGGGTTAGGTTGGTTGGGTTGGGTTGGGTTAGGTTGGGTTGGGTTGGTTGGGTTGCGTTGGGTTGGGTTAGGTTGGTTAAGGTTGGGTTGGTTGGGTTAGGTTAGGTTGAGTTGAGTTGGGATTGGGTTAGGTTCGGGTTGGGTTGGGTTGGGTTGGGTTGGGTTGGGATTAGGTTGGGTTAGGTTGGGTTGGGTTGGGTTAGGTTGGAGTTGGGTTGGGTTGGGTTGGGTTGGGTTGGGTTGAGTTCAGGTTGGGTTGGGTTGGGGTTGGTTGGGTTGGGTTGGTTGGGTTGGGTTTGGGTTACGGGTTGGGTTGGGACAGGTTGGGTTGATTGGGTTGAGTTGGGTTGGGTTGGGTTGGTTAGGTTGGGTTGGGTTGGTTGGGTTAGGTTAGGTTGGGTTGGCGGTTGGGTTGGGTTGGGGTTGGGTTAGGTTAGGATTGGGTTGGGTTGGGTTGGGTTGGGTTGGGTTGGTTGGGTTGGGTTAGGTTGGGTTGGGTTGGGTTGGGTTAGGTTGGTTGGTTGGTTGGGTTGAGTTGGGTTGGGTTGGGTTGGGTTGGGTTGGTTGGGTTGGGTTGGGTTTGGTTGGGTTAGGTTGGGTTAGGTTGGTTGGGTTGGTTGGTTGGTTGGTTTATGAAGTTAGGTTGGGTTGGGTTGGATTGGGTTGGGTTAGGTTAGGTTGGTTAGGTTGGGTTGAGTTGGGATTGGGTTAGGTTGGTTTAAGGTTGGTTAGGTTCAGGTTAGTTGGTTGGAGGTTGGGTTGGTTGGGTTGGTTGGGTTGGGTTAGGTTAGGTTGGGTTAGGTTGGGTTGGGTTGGTTAGGTTGGGTTGGGGTTGGGGTTGGGTTGGTTGGGTTAGGTTGGAGTTGGGTTAGGTTGGGTTGGTTAGGGTTGAGTTAGGTTGGTTAGGTTGGGACTGGTTGGTTGGGTTGGGTTAGGTTGAGTTGGGTGGGTTGGGTTGGGTTGGTTGGGGTTAGGTTAGGTTGGGTTAGGTTAGGTTAGGTTGGAGTTGGGATTAGAGTTGAGTTAGGTTAGGTTAGGTTGGTTAGGTTAGGTTAGTTGGTTGGGTTAGGTTCAAGTTAGGTTAGGTTAGGTTAGGTTAGGTTAGGTTGGGATTAGGTTTAGAACAATACCTTGGCATAGATACGTCTTTTGTGGTGCCAAGTGAGCAGAGTTTGGGTCTCTTGTTCTCTCAATAAACACATGTGATTTAACGTTTTCTCTATGTATCGTATTTCCATTTATTATAAGTTCTTCATTAAAATATATTCCTATTAAAATAATCAAGTCATTTTTATATCACAAAACATCAACATTTACCGACATACGTAAAATCAGAAGAATTGAAATTGACAAGTAATTTTAAAATGATAAATTCAATCATCAATCAAATCAATCAAATTCAATTAATATTTCTATTTATTTGCAGGTGGAAAAAAATATTATTACAATAGTGTATACAGAAAAGAAAGTAGGGTTAGTACTAACCTTTTTACTTTCTTTTCTGTGTAGCACCTGATGGAACACATAGGGAAAAATTTATTTTTTCTTAATTTAATTTTATTATTGTTAATTTTTATTTTTTCTACAATTGTAATCATTATCATGATTATTTTTATATTGATTTTCGGTGGCCATTGCCGCCTTAATAAAGTTTTTAATTAAAAAAAAAAAAAAAAGAATCATCATCATCTACGAATAATAATAACCAGGTATCAACAATGAAAAATAGTCCATCTGATAATGATAAACTCATTGATGTTCCAACATTCATCGGCTCAAACGCTTCGGCCGTTGATCAATTTGGAATTCAGTCAGCTTTTTATGAATTGAATTGCATTAAATTGAATGAAAATTGAAATATCACAGATGATTGTTCTTGACCCGGCATCAGTAATCAAAATAGGTGTCAACTCAAAATAATAATCCTAAAATGATGAATAATTAGTAAACAATCCAGAAAATCAAATGAAGACATTACCTCATTTAAATCAGCATACGTTCGGTCCAGAATCGTTGATCGCAAAATTGGAAAATAGTTCAATTTCACTACATAAATCGAATGTAAACAACAGTATGAGCAAATTGGATGGCCATTTCGACAACAGCAACAATTGAACAAACAAGAAGAAGAAAGAAAAGTGTATCCTATGTTTCAACGTGTTGTGTTATTGATATATGTTGTATGTATCGATGAAGCCTTTCTTTCCAACTATGGTAACGATTCACTTGATGCAAATGTTGATTATTGATGATGATAAACCAAATGTTGTTCATAAGCTGACAGCATAACATTAGGTTTCGGGACGCGATTGATTGATGGCTTTGGTGGCTTTATATATTGAAAATTTTGCTTGTCTCGAAGATTCATCAAGTTGTCCTAGCATTTTAACACATAGCTGGTGGTTTATATCGAAGTTGTTGCTATTGCTGACAGACTAAGATTCAATGGATTGATTGTGCTCATATGATCATTATTGCTATCAGGCGTGATGACTATTTGTATCAATTGATGATGGTGCTGCTGTTGCTGCTCACTTGATTCGGTGTTGTTGACAATTTTACTTTAGCCACGACATTACATTGATTATGGTTGATTTGTTTTGATCATCAAATTATTTGAAGCTAAGTATTTTCGAATTATTTCATTTAACTAATTATTATCATCAATTATTTAGCTGTTTGGTGGCGAATTCTGTGATATTATTTTTACCATTCGATTTTGGAGCCATTATCTGTGATACAATAGGCAATTTTCAAATTAATAGGATTATCCAATTTGTCATTTTATCTTCTGTTTTTATGCCAACTGACGTATCCACTATAATGTGATTGACCATTGGTGTTTTTTTTAATTTTAAAAGAAATTTTATTATCAATACGCCAGGATTGGCAATGGCCAACCAATATGTTATCAATTACAATTCATGAAAATCATTAAACAATTCATATCATATAAAAAAGAGAAGAAAAAATAACAAAAATAAAATAATAATAAAGAAAAAAAAAGGCATTTTCATGTAAAAATTCCACTTGTTCCGGTATTGATTCAGGTTCCATTTTTTCGAACGGCAATTCGATTGACCATTGGTTAGGTTAGGTTAGGTTATATTTTTTATTTTTTCTACAATTGTAATCATTATTATGATTATTTTTATATTGATTTTCGGTGGCCATTGCCGCCTTAATAAAGTTTTTAATTAAAAAAAAAAAAAAAGAATCATCATCTACGAATAATAATAACCAGGTATCAACAATGGAAAATAGTCCATCTGATAATGATAAACTCATTGATGTTCCAACATTCATCGGCTCAAACGCTTCGGCCGTTGATCAATTTGGAATTCAGTCAGCTTTTTATGAATTGAATTGCATTAAATTGAATGAAAATTGAAATATCACAGATGATTGTTCTTGACCCGGCATCAGTAATCAAAATAGGTGTCAACTCAAAATAATAATCCTGAAATGATGAATAATTAGTAAACAATCCAGAAAATCAAATGAAGACATTACCTCATTTAAATCAGCATACGTTCGGTCCAGAATCGTTGATCACAAAATTGGAAAATAGTTCAATTTCACTACATAAATCGAATGTAAACAACAGTATGAGCAAATTGGATGGCCAGAGAATAATATCAAAATGAAAAACAAAAAAATCAATTGGTGAAAACGCATTTTTACCAAGTCAAAAAACACGTGCTCCAAACCATGGATCACGAATGAGTCACAAATTACTCACGCATTCAATGCATGCACAAAAGCAAAAATACACCACATCCTTCTCTTCTGAGCGAGAAACAGCTCAGAAGAGGTTCATTCATAAAAAACGCATCACCTTTGCCACTAATGCCATCTATCGGTCTATCATTGAATTACCGAAATTGTTTTGTTTACAATACATCCATGTGCTCAATTTTTTGCTCAAATGTTGAATCCAGAAGATACTTGTACCATCTTTTAACAGAACCAGGTAAGAAAACAAACCAAACTTAACCAAAAAAAAAACCTAACCTCATTGATTCATTCGATTCGTTCGATTCCATTGAATGATTCACTCGCGATTGTGTCCAATTACCACTTTCGTTGATCGCATCCTATTCGATGTTATTGTTGTCACTCTCTTTTCCCATTTGGTGTTGTTTATTGCGTCGCAAATTCATCATCGCCAATTCATCATCATCGTCTTTTGTATGTTCAATTTCAATGTTATTCTTCTATTTGATGTGTTTCATTCCATCCCAAATTCATCATCGTCGTTTGTTTGTATTCGATGTTTCGTTCGCATCCATTGACATTGTTTCCCTATTCGGTGTGTTTCATTGCATCCCAAATTCATCTTCATCGTGATCGTTTCATGTCCATTCTCAAATCATGTCCATTCTTCCATTCTCAAATCATGTCCATTTTTCCGTTTTCGAATCATTTTCGAATCATGAGTCATCATGAGTAATCTACGTCGTAGTCATCTTTTACCATTCGTGTTCGATTGCTAACAGCATCACCACAGCTATCCATCCGATATCCATCCGATGGCTTCCTTTTCTTGTGATAGTAGTTCACCCAATAATTGATCAGATTCTTATTCTAGCAGTCACTCGCATCTCATCCATCTCGTATCTTTGCTTCAATCCAATATCCGTATCCCATCCGAAACTATAAATACCGCAGTCATTTCGAACATTTTGTCATTCACTTTCCTGAGATGTTGGTGTTCACGTCGCTCGTCATCTCATCAAATTTTCGAACACTTCGAATGTTTTGTCATTCGAGTTCCTATCTCCGTTCGTGTTCACGTCGCTCTTCGCTCCATTCTCCAGCCATTCGAACGTTTCATCATCAATGATCGTCTCTCTCTCTCGTGCACAAAGATTTCACAAAGAAATCAGTTTCAGTGAAGAAGATGAAAAAAAAGATGATGATGCAGATTCAAATGTTAAAATTAAAAAATAAGTTCGAAAAAGATAAAAAACTGGTTTCAAAACCACGTTGTTGTGGTTAAATAAGTTCGAAAAAGAATTTGCTCTCAAAACTGATTTCAAAAAACCACGTTGTTGTGGTTATACAACATTCTATGGTATACTATATCATTGTTCACATTCATCATCTATCTCGATGTATTAAAAATTAAATCTAACTCGATGTATTAAAAATAGAATACTGCAACCGCGACGTTGTAAAACTAGTGCAAAAAAAGTCATAAATCTCAATAAAAAAAAAAATCAAATATAAATCATTGTTTAAAAATTTTCCAAGTCCAAATCATTTTCAATAAAATTTTCCAAGTCAATGGTGTGCCATCTGTTGCATGAATAATCATTGTTATTTTGTCTGGTTAATTGAGCCATTCACTGTTGACTATTTTCAGTCTTGGTTGACAACAACTTGTTGATGCCGAATATATCCATACCAGTATCCATCGCATAATGATATCTGATTATTCATGACCATCAATTGTACCATTCCAATGGGCGTCACTACATTGTTGTCATCACTAGTCATCACCTGCATCATTGTTTACCGAAGCGCAGATTGCAAATCGTTGTACGATGCCTGTCCAGATCGACAATCATTCGAGCCGTGTGAATGCAACGAGGACAAGAGCGAAATTCGTTGTGGAATGGGTTTCTCGGTGCCAATGAACGTCTTGTACTTGTTCCGAGACAGCCATCCAGTGGTTGTTCACAACAATGACAATCGTTCACGATATCGGTATCACCACCTGACTGTGGAGAATTCATCACTGGAAATGTTGTTAAACAACATGTTTGGCAAATTCGAATTCGATGCCATCACCATACGAAACAATTATTATCTTTCTCATCTGCAACCATCGTTGTTCGATTCATCCGCCACCATCAATTCACTGACACTGGATTCGAATCCAAACTTGTTTGCCAACGATAAATCGGTGGTCAACGTGTTCACGATCATTGCCAATCTGATTCATTTGGAAGCATTGGCCATCAACAATTGTGGCCTGCCATTCATTGCGAGCAATGCGTTGGCTTCATTGTCGAAACTAGTGCGTCTGGATCTGCACAACAATCAACTCAAACAAATCGACCCGAACACATTCAGTCGACTTTTTTCGCTTCAAATACTTGATCTGAGCCAGAACATGATCAACAATTTGCTGCCAAATTCGCTCAATTTATCGTCAAGCCAACCTTGCTATGATTCGTATCGTCGTCAGGACATTCACTATTTCATTGATCTCAGTCACAACAACCTGTCAGTGGAATCATTCGCACCAGACACATTCAATTTGAGTTGCTCGGCCAAACTACAGTTGACCAACAATTCCATTGAATTGCTCGACGAGAACGTATTCCGTCCATTGTTTCGTTATTACACAATCATCCAGCTGTACAATAACCCAATAGAATGTCTACACTGCAATCAATCATGGTTGATGAAAGGACGTCATTGTTTGGATCACAACAACAACACGACCACCCGATATTACATGGTCATTGATTTTGCATGTCACAACGAAATGTCACTATATCACTTTATAGCCAATTGTCCGCAGTATGCCAAACAAATGGATCATCTTGAAGTTGAACCAAAAAGTTCATCGTTGTTCGTTGTCAACAAGTATCTGGACTCGTATCCAGCCGATTTTCGCGAACACGATTCTCAATTGCTTCGTTGTCAATCGGATTTTTACTCAATCACCCATAAAACGACCAACAGATCAACGTTACCCGTGTATTGGTCATTATTTTTCGCTGCAGCCATAATCATAATGATTGTCATTGTTTACTTGTTGAATCGTCAATGTAAATAAATTGATTGATAATGATAATAATATAATATATAATAATAATGTAATAATGTATTCAAATAAATCAAACCGTAACATGTTCTATGAACGGTCTATTGTTTTGGTTTTATTCCACTCGATCTGCATCTGCATGAGTTTTAAATATTTTCCACACCATTGTAAACATGTCGCAACAAAATAACATTGACTGTCCCGATTATCTGTCTCTGTCGTTCGGGATGAATTCGACCACCAATGCCGCATCTCGATCCAGATCGGTTGGAGCAGTTTCGAGTCCAGATTCTCGACACAATCGTCATTCAATGTTGAATGATTCTACAATCACATACTGTGATCTGGCCCGCACAGTAAATGTGAATCTGCCGTATGAAATTACAAAGTAAGTATAGCGCCTAATTAATCATCATATCATTAATCACATTATGGTCATCATGCTATTAGAAACGTATTGACGTTGATTCGATTGGGTGTGCCTCCCGATGATATCTACGTATTCCTACGAGAATGTCTCACATACAGCCGTTTTGCACACAACATTAATGCTCAACCACAACCACAACAACAACAATGAAATGATGATTAACAATTGTTTTTTTTATTGTATCCACAAATACAACACTCATATACATCAATTAAATCTCACACCGTTGTTCACCACCACCATCTTTATAGCAAACGCATTGATTCTCTTTATACAAATCTTCGCGGCCCGTTTGACATTGATGTAGCTGGCAAATGGTGTGACAATAATCATCCAATTCGTTGGCACCATCATCATCATCGTTGGCCGTTATGAGTGGTTTAGATTGAATGGCCATACTGTCAATACTACTGCCTTTTTCATCACCATTACCATTGTCAATCATGACCAACGTTGATGGTGTTTCATACGGAATAGCGGCCATCCGACGTCGTTCTTGTTTCTGATTATTATCTGTATATAATTAATAAATGATTGTCAAATTCAAATAAATCGAGTAAATCAATTATTATTAACATACATCGTTGGTTAAAGACGACGGCCACAATCGATATGACGGCAATGATGAATATGTATCGAAACATTACTCAACACATTGATTCGGATGGATGGATGGATCGATGGATTTGGTTATGGTTGTAGGTACCACTTTCAACGACGACAACCATAACAATACTACAAATAGCTATAGCCGAATCGCGGTTGCCATAACGACTATTGACAAACGATCCATACAGAGTTGGAGAGTGAAACGCCAAAATCGATCCAGACCATTCAACTGTTTTTTTTTGTCATTTTATTCATTGAAAATAATTTTCACTGATGATTTGCAAAGTCTAATCAAATCAACAAATCACATGTCACATGATTTAAATTGATAACATTCAGTTTATACGATGCACACACGTTCTATATACGTGCAGGCATTTTCACTCAGCCAACTGTGGATAGACAACAAAAACAACAACAACACAGCGATGGAACTAGACAAACTACGTTACAATTGGATCGATGTCGAGGACGATATACGCCTGTATGCGTCATCTTTGGGAATTTGTTCCCGGCGTATTCCGATGGATGACCGGCGATCAATGTGCTGTTTACCGGTGACCGTATTCCCCAGTCCAATGGAACGATCCACTTTTCAACTGGCCATTAACCTACAGCCGTCAATCAATGAAATGATCCATAAAATTTCCATCAATCACCAATTCCTGGAACAATCGTTGCTCAAATTACCGGATGAGTTTGTGGCCAAATTGTTCCACATCTATCAGACTGTCAGCAAACAAGGTTACGCTGCTTCACATCAGCTGGGCATTTTTCGCTCCGATTACATGATTGACCAGCATTCGAATCTGAAACAAGTTGAAGTGAACACCATATCGACTGGCTTCTGTGCCCTCACCCAACAAGTGACGCAACTGCATCGTTATACATTGAAACATTACCAGGGTCTCAGTGATGACCAAATCAATGGCCATATTGCCACCAATGATTCATTGGATCGTGTGGCACAGTCATTGATCGATGCACATCGAATCTATAGCGGCACCGATCAGCACTCAGCCATCCTGTTTGTCGTTCAGGAACAAGAAGCCAATGTAATGGACCAGAAAATGATTGAATGGAAAATGAAATCATTATCACCCGATATTCGAATATACAGACGTTCATTCCGCGATTTGGACCACGGAATCATATCGCTTGGGCCTAATCAACAACTTTTGCTCACCACCATCGACAAAACCCAAGTGGAAATATCGGTCGTCTATTTTCGAGCAGCATATTCTTCCAGCTGTTTTGGTTATGAAAACTCATGGAAATTACGACTTTTATTGGAACAATCACGCGCAATCAAATGTCCATCCATACAATTGCAATTGGCCGGTGTCAAACAATTCCAAACACTGCTCAGTGATCGAGCCATTTTCGATCGCTTTTGTTGCAGCAGCAGTCCACATTCGGACAAATTGTTCAACACATACACCAAATTCTGGAACATTTCACAGTCTGCCAGAGATCTGGTAATCAAGAATCCATCAGAATTTGTTCTGAAATCAAATCAAGAAGGTGGCGGCAACAATGTGTTTGGTGAACAAATCATTGACAAGCTGGATCGAATCCTCTCCAACAATGAGAATGATGCATATTTTCTCATGCAATTTATCCGCCAGAAAGCAATCAAATCGCTGTTGATATTCAAGCAACCACCACCATCATCGGCGACCACATCAGTGGCATGTCAACCACCACCATATAACCAAATCGACAGTGAATTAGGAATATATGGCAGCGTATTGGTCGAAACGAATGGCCACCACATTGTATGGAACCAAAATGCTGGTCACTTGCTTCGATCGAAATTAAGTGGAGAAAAAGAAGCTGGGGTCTTTTCAGGTGCCGGCATTCTAGACACACCTTTTCTCATATAATAACTGTTGAGCTTAATTATATCAGAAAATGGAAATTGATTACAAATTCGTTAAAACAGAATAAATATAGAGTTGATATTATTATCACTATGAATATGCTAAACAAGTGCTTAGCCACTTTTCCATCTCTTGCATCGGTTGTTGTTTCCGTTTAGCGTAATCGGCAATCTGGTCCTTGTCAATCTTTCCGACAGCAAAATATTTAGATTCGGGATGAGCGAAATATATTCCACAGGTGGATGCCGATGGCCAAATAGCCAATGACTCGGTAAGCTTTATGTTGGTCTGTCGTTCCACGTCCATCACTTTCCAGTAGGTCACCTTTTCCGTGTGATCAGGCTGTGATGGGTAACCAGGCGCCGGTCGAATGCCTCGATAGTTGACCTTGAGAAGATCGCTCGTTTCAAATTGTTCGTCCGGTGCATACGCCCAAAACTCACGACGTACACGTTCATGCAAATGTTCGGCAAACGCTTCGGCTAATCGGTCAGCAACAGCCTTGACCATTATGTCATTGTAGACATCGTTGTTGGTCAAGTATTGAGCACAAAGTTCTTCGCAACCGAAACCAGCACTGACAACAAACAAACCAACATAATCGGCCAGACCGGATTCACGTGGCGCCACAAAATCAGCCAACGACATGTAGGCTGAATTATCCTGGCTCTCTTTGGCCGCTTGTTGTCGTAAGCCATAAAGACGGTCAAGTTCTACACCATTCTCATCAAACAGAATTATGTCGTCATCATTAATCGAATTGGCTCTATACAGTCCCACGATACCATTGGCTTTCAGTTCATTGCTTCGAATGAATCGATCAATCATACGCTGAGCATCATCAAATACTTTACGTGCTTCAGCTCCCACTGTACAAAAACGAAAATTAAAACGAAAATAAAAGAAATGAAAATGGCACACCCACCTGTTTCGTCGTTGAAAATCTTTGGATAATTTCGATTCGGATATTTTCCTCGCAGCTGCCAAACATCAAAAAACGGCTTCCAATCAATGTATTTTCGTAGCGTGTTCAAATCATAGTGAAGAAATGTTTTGGTGCCCAGAAACGTTGGCGGTTTGATCATGTCGAATTTAAGCGTCAATTTATTGCGTTTCACTTGATCATACTTGAGATAGACTCGATCGGACAATGAATCGTAATGGTCGACTCGGATTTCTTCATATTCCTCTTGGATTTCTTCCACATAATCGTCCCGACCATTTTCATCCAACAGTTTGGCACATGCAATCACACTACGAGATGCATCCAGACAATGTATGACTGGACCGACGTATCTGGGCGCTATTTTCACTGCCGTATGTTTCTTGGATGTTGTCGCTCCACCAATGATCAATGGAATCTGATAGTTGAGACGTTGTAGCTCTTTAGCCACATAAATCATTTCATCCAACGACGGCGTAATCAGACCACTCAAGCCCACAATGTCGGCCTTGTGTTCTTCGATTGCTTCGATGATTTTCTCACACGGTGTCATGACGCCCAGGTCAATCACTTTGAAATTGTTACATGCCAAAACGACGCCAACAATATTCTTGCCAATGTCATGTACATCACCTTTCACGGTTGCAATCACAACGGTCGTTACGTGGTCATCACCGTCACAATCATCGGGATTGTCCAGTTTCTCTTGTTCCATGAATGGAATAAGATAGGCGACAGCTTTCTTCATCACTCGAGCCGATTTGATCACCTGAGGCAGAAACATTTTTCCATCGCCAAACAGATCGCCAACCACACTGATTCCCTTCATCAATGGTCCTTCAATGATATGCAATGGACGGCTATATCTGTCCACATTTTGTCGACATTCTTCCACATCCTGTTCAATGTATTGATCGATACCTTTCACGATTGAATGCGCTAACCGAGTTTCAACCGGCTCAAGACGCCAATCCTGGACATTCACTTGCGCCGCTTTACCACTCTGATTGGCGTGTGTTTGAGCATATTCAAGAATCTTTTCCGTTGCCTCTGCTTTCCGATTCCAGATGAGATCTTCACACAAATCCAATAGTTCACTATCAATGTCCGTGTACGATGGTAATGCGCCAGCATTGACGATGCCCATGTCCATACCGGCTTTGATAGCATGGAACAGGAATACCGAGTGCATTGCTTCACGAATTCGTTCCATTCCACGAAACGAAAACGACAGATTCGACACACCACCACTAATATGACAGCCAGGACATGCCTGTTTGATTCGTCGACAGGCGTTGATGTAGTTGATGGCATACAAATTATGCTCCTCCATTCCGGTACCGATGGTCAAAATGTTTGGATCGAAAATAATGTCGCATGGATTGAAGCCGACCGTTTCTTCGGCCACCAGCAATCGATAACTGCGCGCACAAATGTTGACTTTTTCATCTTCTTCGGTGGCCTGTCCTTTTTCGTCAAACGCCATGACGACAACGGCAAATCCAAAACTTTTGATCAGTTTGGCTTTGGCAATGAAATCAGCTTCGCCTTCTTTCAGACTGATCGAATTGACAACACCTTTGCCTTGGCAACATTTAAGGCCGGCCTCAATCACCTCGAATTTGGAAGAATCGATACAGACTGGCACGCGACAAATTTCAGGTTCAGTGCTGATCAGATTCAAAAAATTGGCCATCTCTCTGGGACCATCAATCATTCCTTCGTCCATGTTGACATCCAACACTTGAGCACCGTTCTCCACCTGCTCTTTGGCCACCTGCAGTGCTTCCGAATATTTCTTCTGGCGAATCAATCGGGCAAATCGTTTCGAGCCGGCAACATTACATCGTTCGCCAATGTTGACAAACAAAGTGGATTCATTGAAAATGAACGGTTCTAATCCGGCCAGATATGTTGCATCGGTCGAATATTGTTTGAATGAACCAACCACTTTTCGAGGTTCCACATTTTTGACCACTTGGCCAATGGCACGAATATGGTCGGGAGTGGTGCCACAACAACCGCCAACAATGTTGATCAGACTTTGATCGACGAATCGAGCAATGTGTTGGGCCATAGTTTCCGGTGTCTCGTCGTATTCGCCAAAAACATTGGGCAAACCTGCATTCGGATAGCATATGGTGAATGTATTTCGGGCAAAGTTACTGATTCGTTTGATGAATGGTTCCATATCATCGGCACCAAGCGCACAGTTCAATCCGAATGCCATCGGTTTTGCATGCGACGTGCTTATGATGAATGATTCACTGGTCTGTCCAGACAATGTTCGACCACTTTTGTCCACAATGGTTGCCGACACAAATATGGGAATATCATTCTCGTGACGTTCTTCCATCACAGATCGTACGGCAAACAATGCCGCTTTTGAATTGGCCGTATCGATGATGGTCTCGATCAGAATGATGTCGACACCGCCATCAAGCAATGCTCGTGTTTGTTCTCGATAAGCATCCACCAATTCATCCCAGACAACATCTCTAAACGATGGATCTTCCACACGAGGTGATATCGATAAAGTCTTGTTGGTCGGACCCAATGAACCGGCCACAAATTTGTAGCCATTGTCTGGATGTTCATCCATATAATCTTCAACCGCTTTACGGGCAATTCGAGCCGATTTTCGATTCATTTCAGCAATCAAATGGCCACATTGGTAATCGGCCTGTGCAATACACGTACTGCTAAAGGTGTTGGTTTCGATTATGTCGGCACCACTTTCCAAATATTCCTTGTGAATCGAATATATTATATCGGGCTGAGTGAGCGACAATATGTCATTGTTGCCCTTCAACGGACACGGATGATCATCGAATAGACATCCTCGATAATCTTTCTCTTCAAATCGATGTCGTTGAATCATTGTGCCCATTGCACCATCGATGAGCAGTATTTTGGAAGCCAACGATTCCAATAATCGTTGAATGCGGAATTTTTTCTCAATCATTTCCTGCGAAATAACCACAAGTTTTATGTTTTTGAATTCTAAAACATGCAGACAATCGATACAATTACTACTCACCAAACAAATTCAATTCAATTCATCAATACAAAATGATGAATAGACGAAACATGAATGAATGAATGAATGAATGAATGCTTCTTTCATTCAAACAACCATGAACAAAAACATTCGATCATCGATTCCAAGCTTATCTAATCAAATGACACACTTTGAACAGCAATAATCACAATGCTATGTTATTTATCGAGTTGTTGAACTGTCAAAGCATTCAATCGAAATGTGATTAATCTGTTATTACTCACACAATCATTGTTTTCCATTCCGAACAGGTTTCCATTCTCATTGTCGCCATTCAACTCAACTTCAAGGCCAACCAATAAAAATGAGATGATCATTCACAGTATTATAATCCATGATGTGTGTGTTGTTGTTTCATTTCATCATCATCATCATCATCATCATCATCATCACCATCAACAACAACAACAATCGATTGTACGACCATCGATAGTCATACATGTGTATACACAATATATACTTGTTTTATGTTTGTGTGTGTGTGTGAAACAAGTGAACTCGTCTCTCGTCGTTCGTTTAAATATAAAGCTTGATGATATATGATATTTACAATTTGTACCCAGTGATTTGAAGCACCAATTCGTAAATCAAATTATTTTCCTACGATCTACAATAATCAATAACAACAACAACGACAAGAATGGTCTTTAATCTCGTTAGATCAGCAGTCACACGAACGGTATTTCGCAAAACGGTCAATCCATTCGTTGCAATAAACAAGAATCGTTTCTCAACACATGACGATGGCTCCAGTGACGGTGGCATATGTTTCGAATTGACCGAAGATCAGAAAAGTATGCTCGATTTGGCCGAAAAATTCACCAAGGATGAAGTGATCCCGAAAGCTGCCGAACTGGATCGAACGGGTGAATTCCCGATGGAAATTTTCAAAAAAGCTCACGAACTTGGTCTTGTTACCGAGACACTACCCGTTGAATATGGCGGCATGGGCCTGCCGCTCTTGGATCATTGTATGATAGCCGAAAAGATTGCCTATGGATGTACTGGCGTCGGCACAGCATTATCTGCCAACACACTTGGCCAGGCACCGGTCATTCTGTTCGGTAATGATGAACAAAAGAAAGAATATCTCGGTCGTTGTGCTGCCGAACCATTGATTTGTGCATATGCTGTAACAGAACCAGGAACTGGTTCTGATGTAGCCGGCGTCAGAACAAAAGCTACGAAAAATGCAGACGGCGATTTCGTTCTCGATGGACAGAAAATGTGGATCACTGGAGCTGGATATGCCAATTGGTTTTTCGTTCTGGCACGTTCGAATCCCGATCCAAAAGCAAAAGCTTCGGAAGCATTCACTGGTTTCATTGTTGAAGCCGACACGCCTGGTGTCACCATTGGCCGTAAAGAATGGAACATGGGCCAACGATGTTCGGACACACGTGGAATCACTTTCGAAGGCGTAGTAGTGCCCAAGAAGAATGTGCTCCTAACTGAAGGCAAAGGATTCCGTATCGCTATGGGTGCTTTCGATCTGACACGACCGCCAGTCGCTTCTGGTGCCGTCGGTCTTGCTCAACGAGCTTTGGATGAGGCCACACAATATTCACTTCAACGGACAACATTCGGACGTCCGATCGCTACCCATCAAGCCATCCAGTTCATGTTGGCCGACATGATCATTGGCATTACCACTTCCAGAATGGCCTATATGCGTGCCGCATACGATTTTGATCATGGTCGTCGTAATACGTATTGGGCTTCCATCGCTAAATGTTTGGCTGGCGATGTTGCCAACAAGTGTGCTGCCGATGCCGTTCAGATATTCGGTGGTGCCGGTTTCAACAGCGAATATCCGGTGGAGAAACTGATGCGTGATGCAAAAATCTTCCAGATCTATGAAGGTACCGCACAAATTCAACGTATGATCATTGCACGCGAACACTTTCAACAAGCGATGGGTCAATAGTAGTAGTAGTAGTAGTAATAGCAGTAGTTTTATTTATTGTTTGCTTTCCATATTTGTAATGAGATAAATTTGTCTTGTCTTCTTGTGTATTTTAATTTTGAAAATAAACAATTTTCTTGTTCATTGCAACAACAACAACAACAACAACATTCATTTCACTGTTTGTTTGTTTGACTGTGTGTGTGGGAGTACTTTGGATTCAAATATTAAAATGACATTTCTACATTGGGTGGTGGTGGTGTTTGATGATGGTGGTGATGATGTGGACATGGTGTGGCCGATATATTATTATTATAGGCTGTGGGAGAGATTCCGCGAAACGATGATGTGCCAACACCAGATTCTTGTGATGTACACGATGTGCCACCACCGCGGTTGTAGATGCCACCAATGTGCGGTGCATGTGTATGATGATGATGAGCTCCTTGACTAGCAGTTGGTCCAGTTGGTGCTTGACCAGCAGCACTTCCGCCACCACCACCGGCGCCGCCGCCACCACCACTGAATGATGAACTGAAAAATGTTGTAGACGTTGCACCAGTTCCCAGGATCAATGCATTGACTTGTTTGAATTTGGCCCGGATACGAGCCAATTTCTGAACAGTATCATCTTCGAGAATGTTGTTTGTACGTGGAAAGCTTCTGGTCATCTCAAGCAGAGAGTGTAATGCATTCAATTTGCGTTGTTTGTTTGTATCTTCATGTTCCAGGATCGATATCCAAGCATGAGCGAATCCTTGATAATAACCAATTTCGGCCGATAATTGAGCACCTTTTCGCATGCCAAATATGTAGCCATCACGCCAACCAGCTTCTTCTCCGACCGAATATCCACAAGTGAAGCCCATCTGTCTGTGACGTCTAATTGTCTCATGATCAATCTCAATCTTTTCACACCAATCTCAATTGATAGCTCACCTTTGTTCGGCCAGATTAATGTCCTCGAATGCATCGTTGAATGTGGTCGATGTCTTATGAGCCATTACAACCATTCGTAACAGTCAAACTCGCTTATTTTATAATCTATGATCAATGACCAATGATCAATGATTGCTAACTAATAATCAATAATCAATAATCATGACTTACTTGATTCAGTCCAAGTGATCAACAAATTTCTCATCACATTTGTTTGTCAAACTGAATGAAATTGTGAAAGAACCATTGGTCGTTGAGCAATTGGCAATTAGCAATTAGCGTTTGTTGGTTTGTTTGCTATGGTTAAAGTTGTGCTGTACGATTCAAATATGTATGAAACAGATGTAAATGTAAATTATCTCTCTAATCGTATATGTCTACTCAGCATATCATTCATTGATCATTAATTAATCTAAATTGAATAAGTTGGTCATCATAAAATTAATACATTTCTTCCTCATCTCTCCAAGCTATTGATGATGTTCACTCAACACACATATTATGAAACAATGTCAAACACGACACAGAGATGAAACAAACCAGTCTATTCAATGAGATGCGTCGGACCAAATGGAACCAAAAAAACGAGGCCAAAATGTGTGCATTCATATTTTCACATAGTAGGCCAGTTTCGCCACATCATTCCAACATTATATAGACACATAGATGAAGTCAAGTATGCCGACAGAATCTAGTTCAATGCGTGCACAACCATCATTCTCACAAATGACCCAGACAAAACATCATCATCACCTTTACTGAAAATAACAAAACAAACATTCAATTTTCAATTTTATATCAATATCAATATCATTGTTGTTGTTGTTGTTGTTGTTGTCAAAACATGAAACCGTGTCACGTGTTTTAAACAGTTTAAAGAGCTGTTCATAGACACCATTTTCATTTCAATATTCTGTTTGTCTGTTTGTGTGTGCATTTATAAATTAATGTCCAGTTGAATTGGCTGCTATGACCTCGATCAAAAGCATCAGAGGTGGTGGTGGTTGACGCTGTCCTTCATTGTTTGCGTTGGAAGCATCCATGTAATAGGCTGTCTGTTGATTCACCTGAATCGGTATCTTTTCGGTGGAAATCATATTCATATCCATATTATTAGTGATGACTGTATTATCGCACGCAAACAACGATGGACAGAATGATGGTTCGGCCGAACTTAGGCCCACTATCCAGGCATTCGTGTAATCATGATTGCCAAACACTGATGTCGGAAAATTCATCAATCGCTCGCGACCATAGCTTTCGAGGAATGCAGGCATTTGTGTGAGAATGTAGTTGGACGTATTGCATATGGCCAACTCTCGGCATGAATCACTGATGCCCACCGAGTGGAAGCCATAATCAATGAGACGATTGTAAATTGCGTTTATCGTATCGTTCATCACTGAACGATGACCACTTTCTCGTCGAGACCACAATCGTCTCATTGGTGTCGTGATCCAGGAGGAAATTGCCTGCACTGGATTCATCGCTGGCATATTGTTGGCCAGGAATGTTTTCAGATGTTCAAATTCACGTCCAAGTAGACTTTCATCCGGATCCTGTTGTTCATGCAGTATGACAAAACTCTCCATCGGTGGTGTTGGTTTCTCTTTGGCCAGATTATCATTTGTTTGTCGCCAGGAAATTGTCCGTTTGTCCTCATCACTGGAATTTGTATCGGCTGCTGCCATTAAAATAGCCGATGACAACAACAACAACAACAACAACAATGGCCACAATGAAACAGATTTTAGGATACTCATTTTTGTCGCCCAATGTCATGTGCTCGCCATCAATTACATCGAATGAATGGAATTAATTTCAAATTCAAATCAAATCAAATCAAATCAAATCAAATGACAATTTCATATCCTTTCATATCCACTGGATGTTCAATTTGTTTGCATTTCATTTAATTTCATTCATGTTCTGAAAAAGCACGTTTCGAATACAGAAAAAACAAACATAAATAAATCATATATAGATATATCTATAGAGATGCAAGAAATCAAACCCATTCGCTTGGGTTGTGAGGGGCTGGTTTCAGCAGGAAAATGGCATCTATCAACCAGAAATAAGTAAGGTCAATATTGCCCTCGGAAAGATATGGCAGTTTGGTCCAACAAATCAACTCGAATCCGGCTGGTGCAAGCACGTTGTCCCAGAATGATTGAACTTGTTGTTCGAATGTCTGTCCCTGGACGGGCAGATATTGTTCCGGTTGGTGGCTTCGTTTCGATTCGACATACTGCACTAAAGGCAATACAATGGCCAATAACAAATGGCCACCAGAACGTTGGAGAGATTGGCGAATATTGCTCAACATATCCAATGGTCGGTCACACCTGTAAGGTTATATCATAAATCAATATAATATTCAGAACAGATAAACAAACAAACATTCAAATGAATGAGCAAACCTATCTAGAACGTTGAGACAGCTAATCATGTCGAATCGAAATTCATGCTCATGCCATTCATCAACATCCAACAGATGAAATGCACGTTTGATCAGACGATTCTGCATGGTACGTGACAATTCAGTCACATAGGTGCGATTAAAATATTTGGCCAGTTTGGCAGTCACGTTGCCGTCGCCAGCACCAATATCCAATAATGTGCCCCGATTTTGACGTCTCGATCGGCCGCCGTTATCCACCATTTCGGATTGCATATCGAGCGTGTCGAAACAAAACTTTTCAATCTGTTCATCACTAAACACAAACATTCGACCACAATTCAAAAGGCCACAAATTGACGTAGATGATATGAATAATTTCAATATGGAACGCATTATCAATATCCACAGTGAACGGAACAAACATTTCGATTGATAATAACAGGCGTCAATGAATCGTTGAGTGCCCAGATCCAGATGACATTCGATAAATTTGCCACGTAATTCATCACTGAGCATTTGGTCATTGTCGTCCACCAATCGATACCATCGTGATTTGTCCAACCCAAACAAGGTTGCTTCACGGCAATGCCGTTTCAGCAGATAAAGATGGACCGAACGTCGAAATAAAGGCATCTGATCTAATCAATCAATCAATCAATGTGACCAATTAGACATTGAATACTGATACAGAGTGAGCACTATGTTTGTTCAGTTTGTTTTGATATTGTTACCGTTTCCAACACAACAGCACTCTTTTTTCATCATTGCTTCGTGATAAGATTATTGATTAGGTTAGCTCAATCAACGACGGAATGCATATGATATTTGATCGATGATTAGATGAGACAAATTTAACCAGTCACCACTTGTCAATGTCGTCAATGAAACAAAAATTGATTGAGAAAATAAAATGAATGGTCATCATTTGATGGTGATTTTGGAAAACAAAAACAAAACAAAACAAAACAAAAACGCACTGTTCATATGTTGCAAGTAGTCTTCAATCGCATGGATCGCCATCTCTTGGAATCAACATCAAGAAATAGTAAGCAGCATGTTCACATGTGAAACAACTTGGAAATAGAACGAAAATAATTGTACTTGATTTGTCATCTCGTTGTTTATAAATAAAGTGCCTTTTTATCATTAGATTTCATTTGTGCGGTAAGTTACTGGTTGATGATAATGATAGTGGTTAATATTAATAATTGAACAGGGTGCCAAACAAAACATGGTCAACACACGAAGTTTGTCTCGTAAACGTAAAATTGTTGATCAATCGGTGGTCGAAATGAACAAGACAATTGGTGATAATGTTGCTGCTCAACGCCACAAAGATGACAATGTTTGCCAGTCAAACACAACTACGACAATCGAGTCCAAAGATAATGATGAGGATTACTATCGAAATGTAGCCAAGTTAGGCCGAGAAGCAATTGTCAAACAAATCGAAGAAGCCAAGAAATTGAAACAACACATTGAATACATGAGGAACCCAAGAGCAGTGTGGGATCTGAATCCCAGCCTGTATCGACGTGAAATTCCGTTGGAAAAACATCCATATAGACATTTGAAATTGTTGATGGAAGCTCGTCTAGAGTATGTGAATCTGATGCTCGAATTGATGGACCTTGAAGAACGAGATGATGACGACGATGATGTTGCCGATGGTGGTGGTGGTGGTAGCGATGGTGATGCTGATAGGGATGATGATAATGATGATGCTGATAACGACCACGAGAATAATGATGAAGAAAAGGAAAACCATGACAATGGAAAACAGAATTCAAATATCAAGGATTCCAATCACACCAATGACAATCGTACAATCATCCTTTATTCCAGCACCAAGATTCAGGTTTCCGAAATTGATTCCACCAACAATCAAACATGAGCTTTGTTCCATCATCATCACCATATTTCGAAATCAACAGTGACACACACACAACAAAATCATCAGATATACAGAACGATTCTGCTCTGGTCATTCATATTCTGGTCTTTATTCAACAACAACAACAACAACGTGTTCCAACAGTTTACCAATCTAACATTCATTCACTTCCAAATGAATACAAACGGTATATAATTTAGTGATATGTGCTACCTGGATACATTTAATACAACTGTTGAACTGGCAATCTCTCCCTCTCTCTCACACACACATTTTCTCAATGTTATAATCGCATTCTTTTTGATATAGCAATATATAATAAAATGTTTGAAACCATTCGCTTTGAACAATGAATCTGTCACAATTCACTACAGTGCAAATGTTGTTGACGCAAATAAATCTGTTGCCACAATATTCGTGTATCATCATCAATTGGCCATTGTATTGCAATGTGAATGAATCGTTAGATGAACCGTAACCAAGTTAGAACAATGTACAATCATAGCCAGTAATTCAACATTCGATTACGTTCGATAATCAAATTGGCCACATTTTTTCATCAATCTCATCACACCATTAATCCATTGCATCAGATATTTGAATCACATTTGTTAGCATTGCTAGCAAAATCAAATGATGATAACCATCAAACCGATCGATAATCGTTTGCCTGAGCTGCTCAGAAATGCTCATTATTATTATGGTCGATCAATTATCAAACGAAACTGAAACAATAATCCGAAATGAGTGCCCATTAGTTCCCCCATTAAGCCCAATGGTTAATAATGATTGGATACATTACGAGCATGATTATGATCAATTATCATGATTCATGTTCAACTGTTTCCATTGCAGCCATCGATGGATATTCATAAATTCAAACATAATTATACTTTTACTCCATCCATCTATCATGTTTTTATCATCAACCTTTGTTCGATTCAATTCGACTCTAGGTCAAGTCAGGGTGCTGGTTGTGTTGCAGAATGAACTTGTTGTTTGAATGCTCTCTATATATCTATATATCTATATATCTATGTAATGTCATTGCACGAGCATTATTATTCAACAAGTTTTCTCACTCACCATCTTTTCGTGTTTTCACACAAACCAATTATCCATTTGAAACGGACCCACGCACTCACATTACAGCTCAGAAAACGATTCAGAGCTTTTCGAGATTCGCTGGCCAAAAAACCGACAATTACCGAAATTTGTTTAACGACTTTGCATGTTCGCACATCACAAGAATTCATAATGGACGATTGTTTTTTCCAATTTCAATTAAGGTTTTTTCCATTTCTATGGGGCAAACAACAAAACCAACATTCAAATAATCCATTATGGTGAGAAGCACACGATAATTATATGTTAGCACCACCAACGAGTCCAATCCATTCGTCCAGTCTTCTGTATGGTGAACAATGCTCATTTGAATTGAAAATTCAATTTTTCAACTGGCAATGATTAAAATTATCATGCATGATAACACAGAAACGAAAAACCAAACGAACCAAACATCACACCTCCTCCCCGTGCAACGCAATCAATGACATTAATGTGGAAACCTATTGTTAACCTATTGCTCACATTTAATTAACATTAATACAGTAATACCCCGCTTAACGCGGGGGTTACGTTCCAAAAATTCTGAGCGTTAAGCGAAACAGCGCTAAGCGGGGCTATCTTTACATAATGCATTTTTACCCTTCATATACAATGTAACAATGTAATGCAATGTAGGGTAATTATACAGCGTTATATCGAATCAGCGCTAAACGGGGCAGCGTTAAGCGGGGTATGAGTGTATGTCATAATCGGAGAATATGGAATTATCACCAATAACCACGGATATGAACATGATAACACAATGGACCATTGACGCTCATGGTCGCTCTTAATGCTCTCTCTATGGTATCATATGCGAGATGAGAAACTAATTCCCGTTACAAACACAAAGCTGGTCCAAATTCTTTAAACTCAACATCATGACGTCTCTATCATTTCATCTAGGACAATGCTGTGTTAGTGTTTGGAAACTATAAAAATACAGTTAATTAATAATTATGGCAGACAACGGCAAACAATTCTCATCTGCAACATTAGATAATGATGATGATATGATATTGTTTCATCGTCATAACCATCAACCAATTGGCTAATTGGTCTCAACAAAAAACAAAACTTGAACACCTAACATTAACCATAGTCGATAATGAGTTCCACATTGCCTCATTCCTTTCTTTTCTGATGAGCCGACGGCCAAGAAATTCGGTATGGCAAACACGAACCAACACTGAATAACACTGAATAATAATGATGACCAACAACTAATGTGTTGTGTGTTCACAGGCACAAGGTGGATATTTTCATTTCTGCAATCGAAACCCAATGTCGTATTCGATTATTGTTGTTTAGGTTGTTGTCATTTGAAACAATCATTATGAATGCAACCCAAAGGCCAACACACACACAGACTGTATACTGTATATATTGTTTCTTCTGGTTAAATATTTAATCAGCTTCCTCACTCAACATCAGGCGATGAGCAAATTGAAATTTTGTGACAATATCGTGTTTACCAAGTTCCTGGACTGGCAATGATGATAAACAACAACCTAAACAACCAAATACACTTGACACGAACGAACAATCGTGCATTGTGTTCGCATGGACAAACTATTAAAAATTAATCAACGAATCATCCCAACGCCAAAATTCTTCATCATCATCATCACACAGCATAAACAAATCAATTATTCACGATGTGTCGTTTGTCGTTTGTTGTTAAAATTGATAAAGTTTCATTTTTAATCCAAATACCAAACATCTTCATTCCATCTTTGGTTAATTCAATTAGCAACTCATCTATAGGATATATCTCACGATGCAAACATCAACTAACTGTCCTGTGGAGATGGCATAAACAGACCGATTGATTGATTGCTGATGATCCGTATTTTTCAATCACAATTTATTCACTGTACCACTGACACATGAAGCGGAAAGCCCGGCTTATCGCTTCATATGCACTCGACAACGATCAACGCTGGTAGGAGAAAAATTGTCCAATTCAAATTAGGAATAGCGATTATGAATGTCCAATCATTATGATGATGATGATGATGATGATGATTTTATCAAGCAACCTGATCTCATCATCATCATAATCAAATTGTGATGATACTGATTAAAGCCAGAAAGTGAGCACTAATTATCGACCAACAGAATGAATGAATGATTGACCTTTAGCCAAGTGAATGATAAGATTGCTTCCACCAATATTGGGCGTCAAACTAGAAAAACTAGCCACATTCGGTCCATGTTGTCACCAGCACCGCCAATCGGAATCAAGCCCAATTCTCGAGACTGGCTTCAATCATATCATCATCATATAGGTATGTTTGCATCATCATAAATCATCATTATCGCTCTATCAAAAAATTGGCTACAAATGCTAATTTGTTGCCAACAATAACCAACAATAATCATGATAATGACCAGCTATCATCTTTCTGGGTGTGTGTGTGTGTGTGTTATTTCACTGTAGTCTATCATGGATAGAGGCATACATGGCTAGATGAGTTGTAATCTTTTCTCAATCCATAATGGCCATAACACCAACACATGGAATCACCGGATAATTATGCTTTAATCGTTTTGTAATTAGCTTCACTCGACTATTTCATTCATTCACTCATTCAACTAATCTTGTAAGATAGCACAGCATGGGATGAGTAAGCTTCTAGTGTTACAGGCAGGATTTGCCACATGTGACACATCTCATCTCAATCGAATCGGTTGTTTGGAATAGGTTGAAATTTTCACATCTCCGAAATGGCCATATTAATGAATTATGAATGTTTTGCATTACAAACACCATCTTCTTCATGATGATCATGGCCGACCATGAAAAGGCATGGTTCTTCAATCGTTTTTCACGTTAAACCAATTATGATCAATTATGTTGCATAAAGACAATTCTCATGTATCATGATGAACATCGTGCACAACACACAAGACAATTTCAATTTCAATTTCAATTTCAAATTGAATTTCAAACACCACTTTTTTGCCATCAATTAATCATTCTCAGAGTCCCTTTTGTCTAATATTTACAAATTCAAATTGTTGCAATTGTCATTCTTGTTTGCTCCATGACCACCAGACAATTATCATATAGTCATGTAATTGCTCTTTTTGAATAATAAAATCAATGAAAGGTGAAACCGACATGACGAATGACGAATGACGAATGATAATCTTGTCTTGTTCATTTAATTGTACATTGTTCAATTGTTCAATTGCACACTCGGAAAAAACTCAAGAGGTGGCGTTTGCTGGTCGACTTGAATCAATCGAATATGATTGATACGTGCCGTTTGTTGTTTGTTGTTTGTTGTCGTCCGTGATCGAACCGCTAATCACATGGATTGAAACATATCGACAATGCCAATGACGACGAAATTCTGGAAAAAAAATTGTCCAAGACAACAATTTTGTAACAATCCAAGTTTGAAATAATTCAAATTCCATCAGATAATCGGCTTTTCTTTCTCTCTGGCAGCTAGTAGTGTTCATCATACATCATCATCATACATGGTTCCAACTATCCAATGAAATGGTCCGAATCAATATAATGATAATACGATTAATGACGCTTCTGCCGTCACGATGATTGAAATTCTTGCTTGTTTCATTCATTCTACTTTGTTATTGTTGGCCGCAAAATAATCATAATGTTCAGACCTCATACAACTAAATGTTCATTGTCCAATTATGCTCATTTCATTCACTTGTGTATGGTGCTGTTGATCATTATGAATTGAGATAATCTATTGCCATATACATGTATGGTTGCCACAGAGGCCGACAAAAACTTTGCATCCAAAAACAAAACAAAAAAAAACAGAATGACGGCCCAAGATGCAAGCGAAATCCCTTAGTCGTGGTTGTTATTGTTGTTGCAACACTTTTCAAACAAACATTCATTCATGTGTGCATGTGTTTGCTCGGAAATAATTAATTTCGATTCGTATCTTCTCTTACGTACAACAACATGACACACAACAATGTAAACCAGAAAAAAAGAGTGAAAAAAAAACTCAAATCCCTAAAGCAGAATTGGAGAACAGTAGCCAAATCTATCCACTTGCAAACAGCAATTTCCACTGTTGGCACAATCAAGAAACAAACTGAATGCATACATAGAAATATTCAAATTCTATTCGAATCACTCTCATTGAAAAAAATTCGTTGGCCAAACAAACATGATGATGATGACTATGATGATGATGACTATTAAAACAATTATTGAGACAATGGCCATAGACATC